CACTCACTCACTCACTCACTCACTCACTCACTCACTCACTCACTCACCACCACTGCCACTGTCACCACGATCCCCACCTTCATCACCACCATCACCTCTTTGGACCCCAATGCGTCTAGATCTCTAGTCTTTCTGCTTTTTGACCTGACACACACTGTTGGGGGTCTCTTGCCGGGATAATTGAAATAATTAAATATATTCAATATTTTTAAATGTTTATCAATTCAACAGTATAGAATGTTTAATTCCAAGCTAAGTAATTTATTGTAAATCAATAGAATCGAATTCATTTATTAATACAAACATGCCCAATCTCCAAATATACTGATATTGTCCAAATTATCATCGTAATTAATTTATCAAAATAAACAACAATATGTTGTTTGTTCAATTATTTAATATCAATTACATCGCCAACAATATTGTGATATACCAAATAACACCGATACATATTCATATATTGCTCAAATACACTCCGAATTCATCCTTCCAAAATTTTATTCCCACGCAACTATCCACCAATATTCCCCATATACATCCTAATAAATTCATTTCGTTCGTCTAATAGAATTTCTGCCTTGTTTTCAGTTCTTGGAATAATATATTAGAACAATAGATTAGAATAATATATTGCGATTAGAATAATATATTGCCTACGGTTGTTAAGAATCGGTGCCCCCCAGGCGATAGCCCATTCTATTACAGTAGTTTGTTTATAGATTTAAAGCAATATTGTATATATGTATATTATGTAGATATGATCACCCCTTTCTTCCCTTTCTTCAAACTACTTATTTTATGTTTGTATGTGCACCATACCATAGAAACATCATTACCGATTGAAGTCGATTAATTCATATAAATCTGAATGTTCACATTCTACAAATTACATATATTGTCATATATTGTAATATATATAATTGCAACATTCTTCTCTGATTATTGTTGTTAGAAACCAGGAATCAATGATCCTGGGATAGATAGCAGGATGCCAAGTACCTCGATTAAACTGCACATATTCATTCAAATTCATGCCTGTGAATTGACGTTCCAAGGGCCGTACCAGCAACAGAATGGCGAGGTTGCGCAAGTTTGGGTCCGGTTCAGTAAGCGAATCCTCATGTCAAAATGTCACAGCAGCTCTTGCTGGAATAGTTAGATGCTCTGATATAATATGTAAACAAGTGGATTGCAAATTGTGGAATATTACGACAAGCAAAAACAGGAACAACCGGCTCCCTCCAGGTCAAGCTCCGAGTATGTGAAGCAACGGAGGCGGGAAGGTTGACAATATAGTCATCCTAAAACATTGTTAAACATTGCACTGCGCCTCTTTACAGCAACAGCCCACTAAGTGCACTTGCTCCAGACTCCCTGCTAGAGCCTTCCCTGTCTGCTGGCCCCTTCTGAGCTCCCAACCCTTGCAGGACAGTTGTATCCGCCCTGCAGGACGATTGCATAAAACCTCAATGTCACAGAGCTGCTTTCGAGCTTTTGATTCAATTCTGACTAAGCTTTCACAAAGCCCAAAGATCCAGGCGCAAAGGTCGCATACCTCAAGGATGTCAATCCAGCAAAAGCACCAATTGAACAAGCGACAAACAAACAGTCAAGCAAGCGTCACGAACCCTCTTTAAACAGATAGACAACTTCCCTGCAATTCCAACACACATGCGCCCCGCTGGAAAAAAGCCTGAATAAAGCTGCAGGCTGGGGTTCAGAGTGCTCAAAACATTTCTGCCGTCTTTTTACTAAGGTCATGACAACAAACTGGTGGAATTGTCCAAGCTCCCGCTGATCAAAAGGGAGCAGCCTTATCCAATTAAAGTGGCAGCTCTCGATGAACACTTTCGATAAGTCGGCTGTTGACACAGGCAAATGAATTATCTTAGAACCTTTGGCTTTGCACCAAACCCCCATGTCTCAAACACTCCCTTGCAGCCCGGACTGATCAAGCCAGCAAAGGTGCCGGAGCCCCTCAAAGTCCGGGCAAGCACTGCACCTGGAGCACGGCTTATGACTTTTGCTCTCTCATTCAACTCACCAAGAACCATTGTGTACATGGGCAACAAGGGCATGAGGATTCGTGTTGACGTGGAACTCTCCTTTTTCCAGCCCAACCCCTTGCCACACCGTCCAGTCGGCCCAAGGCAAGCATGTTCAAGGAGGTGATGACAACACCTCAGACCAGATCTTAAAGATGTGGGCACCTCAAAGACTCGACGTCTGTTCTGAGTTTGTCTTTTGACACGTTTTGAATGTCTCTCAGCGCCCCTTGGTTGTGCACTGGTCAGCCAGCCGTTCTGCTGGCTTCAAGACTTCTGAACAAAGCACAGGGCTCAATTTTATTTTAGTAGCATACTGTATGCCAATGAAAACCCTCGGCTCTCTAAGTATTTGACCCTGGCTCCCTCGGCTCTCTAAGTGCCACACCAAGAGTGCCTCCAATGAGGATTGGATTGGCTGGAAATGCAACGTTCACCTCACATTTGCCACGTGACGTCGCGAGCATGGCTCTCGCTACATCCCCACCGAGCCAGTTATCAAGACGAGGCATGAAGAATCCGAGATATCGCAGCAGAAAAAAACAAGTTCTGAAACTGCTACTTTTTGAGGTCACGGAATGTCATGAAGATCCAAAGCTAAGCAAGTCAAAGCTACCCCTTGTGCCTCAAATGAAGGGGTTGGTGTCACAGCGTCCAAATTGTCCAGCACTGTTCTGTTCCAAGTGGCCGGATCGCTAAATGGGTCGGGCTGCTCTGTAGCAGACGGCCTGGCATTGACTGCCAGTGAAAGCCTTGATCGAAGGGCGGAAGCACTTGATTCGGGGCATCTATGCATCCAAGAGAACAATTTCAATTCGGCATCCAAAATTCAAGTGACAAATAGTGACAGCAACAGCTCATGTCAAAGACAAAACCTCTACAAACTTCCGCCAATACCACACAATCTCCTTAAACTGTGAAGCAGAACCACGCCGGGTCCGCTCGCCCAGCAGCGGTCGCATGAGGATCTTAAGGACCTGGAAGTGTTTGCCCAGCGTGGGGCTGGGACAGGTGTTGAACATCCTTCTGCCACAACAAACTGTCAGGCCAACAAACTTCGCGGTTCCTGGGCAGCTGCATATGTACGTCAAAAGAAAGACTGAACACATGTTGAGATGGAGCCAATGAACTTAGTTAAACTGACCACTAAGAGTCGCTAGACTCTGAAGAGTCCAAAAGTCTCGGACCTTGACCACTGAACCAAACAATATTGACAATTTGGAGGTCTCAGCACTCCCCAACAAGTCCCTTAGCTTCGACTCACTGGACCCAATATAAGTCCTGGTCCCAAGCATCTGGCAAGAGGCAAGATCTGGTAGTTCAAGCTAATTTGTTGCTCCTGGCCAGTGACAGTGGTGGGATTGCATAGGGAATTTAAAGTGGCACTTGATGCTTCCGAAGTATGAACAAACAACAGTTCAAAGACCAGCATGCGCCCTAAACACAAATGATTTGTAAAAAGGTGCATGTTTGCAACACATGTCAGTTCACGACTCGCCATTGACCAAGTCTTGCTTGGATTACTCTGTACTGCATGTCTGTCTTGCAGGGGAGTTGGAGGGTAGGTTGGAGAAATATGATATTCCTGATGAGTAGTGTAGGCGTATACGTGACAGGACGCCACTCACTTGACACATGGGACCACCCAAGAATTGACAAACTGGATAGTGGCCTACTTTACCGAGAAAAAATGCATCTGACTTGCTGCAGTCAAGTGTCCTGGTCAGATCCTAGCGCCAGGCCCAGGAGGAGCAAGAAGAACGAGACCTGAGCACAATGCCCTAAGAAATCCAGCTGTCATGTGCTTTAGTGGTGGGGCCACCTATGAGGTCCGCTAGGTTCATATGCCTATATATTACCCCATCAAAGCCCCATTGTCATTCCATTGCTTCTTGCTGGTGTGGGATGCCACCCGAGCGCGTAGCGCCAAAGCGATCCAAGGTGCACGGCTCTACAACGAGTCAAGCGACGCCACAGGTCAACCACGTATAAGTCCCCCCAAACCAACATGTGGCTGTAGATGCTTGTGACGAGGTAATTTGAGCCTAGCGCGGCCAGTTTGCTTGGTGATCAACTTTGCGTGAAATAACTAGCATTTTGTCGAGCAATGGCAGCTATACATGACCAACCATCAAATATGTTTGTGTGAAAAAAGAAGGCAAAGCAAAACACAAGCAAATAACAAAGCACAACAAAGGGCAACAAAATACATATTATAAAAGAAAAACAGTAAAGCAAAACAGAACAAAATAACGCCTGCATAGACTGTTCAAGGACATGCTTGCGTTGTTTGCGTCTTTGTTTGCTTTAACTGGTTTTCGTTTTGCTTTGTTTTTGCTCTATTTTTGTTGGCTCCTTCCTTGTATCTATGGCTGGCGTGCCGAACTCAAAAATAGCAACCTTCCACTGCACATCACAGCGCGACACATCGTACATCTTCAAACTGAGGCTGACACTGCATAGCCTGCAAGGCCTGGCAATTTTGCACAAGCAGTCTCTATTAGCACCAATATTGGAACCCTCTGCCGCTTTCATCTCGTGGTTTGTTGACTGCATGCCAGTTCTGTGTCTGCATCTGCCTTGGACAATGAAAAAGTGCGAGATTTATCTCTCCTAGCAGGCTAAATAAATAAGTGATCACAATTAGCATAACCATGGCCCACAAGCACATCACATTAAAAACGTATAAGATCGTATAAGATCATATATTATATTAGCAAGTATACTTCTTGAATGTATAAGTTGACCTCCTAGCTTCAGCCCCTCTCAAAGCAAGTTGCACCACTCCGACTCTGACCGTTCATGGGCCCAAATGCCTGCGGACACGGACATGGAGAGATTGGCATCCTCATTGGGCACCTAAGGTCCAGGTCATCAATGGCCGCTCTTGGTTCCAGGATTTTCCAGGGAAATGCGCTGTCCTATCTGCATCGAGCTTTCGTTCCAAAACCAAAGTGAGATGTACGCACCGAATACCAGCAACGAAACTTGCCCAACACCATCCATATCATTTGATTATCCTGGATGATCACATGACATGTCCAAATTAGCATACTTTTTGCATTGCGACGGGATCCTGCACGTCACACAACCCGACTGCACGAGGCTGAAAACAGCCCCAAAGCCCCCGGCAATCGATTGCTGCCGGGTTATGGCACCGAAACCTTGGTGAGATAGGCCAGGGTTCTGGCAGCATTATAAGCTGGGAACAGTTGGTCTTGTCTTCATGGTAGGGGAGCCAATTGGTTGGAAGTCATGATGCTGCCTTTGTTCATTCACGCGCCTATACTTCAGGTGAAGAGAGCCCAGAATCTGTAGGACGCCCAAGGACTCTCTCCCATTGTCTGAGCTACTGGCAGCCCACAGATACAAAGGGCCACACCTCACAATGGGTTCAATGTGCTGAGCATCTCTCAAACAAATCCTATTTCTTGCTCCCACCTCAGGAAGGCATTTCCTTGCATGCAGGAGGTCCAAGATCACAAAGACCAAATCAATCAATATAGAGTAGTGGTCGGCTGCGTGCTAAGCGGCTAGGCAGCAAGCGGCAGCGTGGCTGAACACATGCAGCAGCAACAAGAAACGTTCCCAGTTCACAAGATTTACAGTACTATTGTTGTCCGAGGCTTGGGCTTCGGCCCTGCTTCGTTGCATAACTGTCCCAGATTCCTACTTTATAAAGGAAACATGGGGTGTTGCCGTTCAAATAATTTTTACAATGGTTCAGCAAGTGCATCCTCAATCATCCTCACATTGATGCAGTATTCACTTGCGCAGGTCTTGGGCCTCGGGCAGGCACAAACACCGGGGGAGTCAGATCCACTCCATACCTCAGCCAAAGCTCAAAACATCTCAAAAAGCATTTCCACAGAAAAGGTCACAAGTTGTCAGGAGCGCTTTGCATGGGATGGACCTGGCACATCCTTTGTGCGCACTGCCCGCGTCACCGGTTCACGGCAACATTGGAGGTTCGAGTCAATTGTTTTGGCAAGCAGCCTCTCGAGCAAGTCATCGTGGAACCAAACGGGGGCGGTATGGAGTCATCACAAACTCAGTGAGATCTGGGACGTCTGACTGTTGAAACCAGTCCACGCATGAGCTTGGATTCTTGAAATCCGTGAGCACAGCTACAAGCAAACAGGAAACAAACATCAGCATTCTAAAAATACTTAATGCAACAGCTACAGTATCCCATAAGAAAGAATGCGCAAAAAATGACGGTTGCCTTCCAAACTTCAAGAGCACACCCTAATATCAAGCTCCGCTCAGGCATTGTGTCCTTCATGTTGGATGTTCCCATCAGGGAAATCCGCACGCAACTCTCATGGGTGAGCTATGCTCTTTCAAGTTTCTGCTCTTCCAATGCGGCAAACATAAGAAATTGTTCTATATAGTCTAGCATCTCTAAATTCCAGCTCATCCACTCAAGCTTTGTGACTCATTGTGCAAGCAGAAGGTGGTCCAACACCAATGACTTTCGGTGTTTCAACACCAGCTTGGCAGAGCATAAACAAGCCGGTGGCATGGCAGGATGGTCCCCAAATCCCGACATTTTTGTTGCGGCCATGCCATGCCAATGTGGTGGTACTCAGCCCCAACCAAGGGGTCTGGATACACTTCGATGCCCTGCAAATTATGACGTGAGGCCTGCAACCATAGGAATTCTGGACAGGCCCAACAAAAGAAACAACACTATATATTGGGAAGCATTTAATAACATGTGCATCAATGAAACATTGAACAAACGATGAGAGCTTTGCGGCCGTTTCCTATCGCAGCGGCTTGCGTCACTTGCATCCATCTCTATCCATCAACCTTGGCATCAAGCATAATCAAATGCAAACGGTCTCATCCTTGCCTTTTTTGGCATCACTATCAGGGCTTTGAACAAACATGCAGAAACAACATGCTCAAACCTGCAGCAAGATGCAAAGTCAGACTTAGCTGCCACTTTGTGAGAGAAGGCTATACCGAATTGCGAACCTCGGATCAAGGCGCTTCGACGAGAAGAAACTCAAGAAATAAGAAACACCCTTTCAACTTTAAACAAACACACAGCTCAACTCCCCCAGCCAAACAGCAATCACAAACTACGCGCACGCACAAATAGAAATAGTGCACCTGACCTGCACAAAGGCACGCTTCACACGATATAGATTCAACGGCAAAAGGATGCAAAAGGCATCCTTATCAACTACCATGTCAACCAGTAGATACCAGTAGCCTTTGTAGATCTCTACTGTCATGCGTGCATTAAGGGATGCCGTGCCCTTAGGCGCACACACACACATGTACATCCCCTCCACCCCTCCTTCTGCTGATGCCAAGCCACTATGTGCGCCTATACATGATTTCAAACGCTTTCGGATCCCAGGCTCAAGTTGAAATCCTGGGGTGTCATGAAGATCTGCGCCTGCAAACGTCCATTGTCAGGTGAAAGTGTGGATTGAAGCAGAGCAAGTGAGAAAAAGGATTGTGCATTTGAGATCGGGTGTGCCTTGCCCTTGGCCAGGCTGGATGTGTCAGCTTGGCGGGCTTTCAATGTTTGCTGCAGCCTGGGCACAGTACGACGCAAGCTGAGAAATCTGTACCTTTTGCCTCATCCGTCAGCCATAATCCGCTTTGATCCCCAACACCACTGAGTTGAATACTCGGACGCCAGTTCAGACTCAAAGGCACGAAGCTCATTGAAGCAACGCAACAACCCCACACGTGCTGAAATGGACATCACTCATGCCACCCATCCCCCGGCACCCGCCTGTACATTTCTACTCGCTCCGTGACATTTGGGACCGACGAGCTCAATCCAGAGATGTAGGCCAAGGCTGCTTGCACCTGACTGACTTGCGCTTGTGTGTGCCATAGATCAAGGATTTACTGTGGATGATTTAGCGTGCCACTAGTCTCTGAGCCTCTAAGCTCTTGCACCCAGTCCATGTGGTCCATAGTCCATACTACTCCAAGTATGTCTGCCGCTCGGAACCGTTCCAATGATTGACTGACACTTCTGTTGCATTCCCACATTGCACGGACTGAGTGGAGAGCCAACTTCTGACCATCAGATTGTCCCTGGAACTGTTTCTGCAGCCTTTCGTTGTCGGCCTCGAGGCATGCATCAAAGGTGGCAAGGTCAGCTAGCGGTACATCTAAACAAACACACTGCCCACTTGTCACGTGCTCATTAGACAGGACCGTCAGCGATGGCCAAGGATGACGGGGCCTGAGTTTGGATCAGCTCTGTCCGTTGCTGCTCCAACTTGATGTCAGCCGTCAGCTTAGCCGCCTCGCAGCAAGGTAGAGTCAAGCACAGCAACAGTCTACTGGCGGCATGACATGACCCTGTTGCCAGGTGGCCATTCCTGACACCTTTCTAGTACACAACACATGCTGAGGGTGTGGCATTCACTGCATTCTGACTTTCCTGCTTCTGGAGCTCGTTGATGCCTTGAAAGTCTGAACAGAAATGACACGGCCTTGCTGAGAATGACACCACTATCCATATACATATATATACAGTATTATACAGTAACATGATGTACTTAAGCGTATCTACGCTGCGACCTTTGCAAAAGCTACATTTTAGCAAGGTCCAATGAGCACATCTTTGAGGAGTTCGTTGGGCAAGTCTGCAACAGCGGGCCACTCCCGCCAGCGATGTGGGATGGGCATGGCACTCACACAATGCAGAGGCAAGGCAGCTTCGCAGAGTGCTCACGGTGTGGGGCCCGCAACAAGATCGTCGGCGACAAGGTCCAGCTCAACCGGAGGCTGAAAGAAGCCTGCCCTTCCAGATCACAAGATCTGCGAAGGATGTTCTCGTGAGCACATGGTAGCACGGAAAAGAACCGTGGAAAAAAAAAATAACAAAAAATAACATGATGTACCGCAATCACGGAAAGCTGCATGATTTACCTGCCAATCAAAACGTCCCCCCACCACACACACACACATCAAATGCACAAATATATAAGTTGGTTGCTTTTTGCTTCACGAAATGGGGCTTGGGGCTTGGGGCTTGGGGTTACCAAAACTCTTGAGTCTTGAGCAATACCCATATCAAAATGGTCACTGGGCTCATCACGCATGGTAGTCTCCTTGATAATGTTCTGCAGTACCAAGGCCGTCTCAGAGTCCACGGAATCCTAAAGAAAATTGCCGTCTCATTCTGTTGTTTGCCTGCCTTCAGAATGCGGTAGTGGGTCAAAAGGATTCAAAAGGATTAACGTGCACGGTGAGTGAGAATTATCCTCAAACCCTAACCTCAAGCATTACTTGCACAGCCGAACTGTTTTCCGATATTCATCTCGCTGTGCCATATTGTGCCAAGCATTGCCACACGATAGGCCAAAACCGAACTGTAAACAATTTATATACGTATAGCTCTCAAAGACCATGAGGAACCGACGCTCATCGCCAAGGTACGAAACGGGTGATTTCAAGGGATTGGAGCTCCACACCTCGATCCGAGTAGAAGGTGTCCGAGGCCTGGCTCTCTCCAATGTGTCAATGAATTGTTTGGTCACTGAATTTTGGTTCCCAATACCTTCTCTCCACTCTTCTCTCCATACCTTCTCTCGAATCCTTCTTGTTCTTCTTTCATTAGCTTATCGGTCTTTCTTTGGACCTGTAGCCCTTCGTCAGCCTTCGTCCTTTCCTTTTTCCTTTTGTTATTTTTTGCATCTCTTTGTGCTGACTGGAATCTCGTGTCTTTGAATGTGCGTCGTCGAACCCCGGTTGGCTGGGTCGTACGGGTGGCTCTAGCGATACGGCCCACAAATGCGGTGCCATCCAACCGGCTGGGCAATGGAAAGCATGACACAACTTGCACTTCCTCAGTATTGCTTTTTAGCCACGGCCACACCTCTCAAAACAGTCCTCGGCACCAAGTTGTGAGTACTTGCTCAAAAATCTCAAAGTTTATATATCTATCCCCGTGCGAATTTCAGGTGAGGGTCGTGCTCCCCATTCTATAGTGATAAAATTGGGACACCCAACCCTGGGGTACCCCACAAAACTCTATAGAATCAAAACCAAAGGTATGGCTGGCAGGAATAAACCTCTAGAAAATCGAGGCGGCCCCTTAACATCAGAAATGCCACAAGTGCCCAAGATGAGCCTATATAAAATGAATAACCCGCATCTGGGTAGGATAAGAGGTCAAATTTACTTTAAAAAAACGCAAAGTGTCAATTTGTCGCTATTTTAAACATACATGAACAACCTCATTATTCCCATGACGTTCTATACAATGAGAATCACTAGCCTCTACAAAAGCAACACCCTCTATAGAATCAATGCAACCGATGCGACTAAGACTGAAGACTCTATAGAATTCAATTCAGTGAACAAGCAAAATATCCTCTATAAAATCGAAGACACTTTCTATATATAGAATCAAAAACTTCATGTATCAAGATTAAGTTCTAACATCCACAAAATGATCATTCTCTGATATCATGCAAATGGTACTGATAATGGAGGTTTTAATTCTATAGAGAAGCTACTCTCTATAAAATGACCTCAAAATTGGGGGGTCGACCTCCCCCATTTTATAGAGGAAATTGGCAGGAGGATATATATCTCAAAAGTCCTGCCTCTGCAATAAAAAATCAAGGCAGTATTTTCCTCTCAACCCCGCCAGCTCGAACGCCATTCGGATTTTGCGCACCTGCGAACTATAAGTTGCTTGTGTCAAATTGTTGAAGCCAGCCATGAAGTTCGCGAGGGTCAGCCTTCCATGAAACAATCCAGTATTTCAAGCCCCTTGAATTTCAAAGGACCACAAGGAGCCTTGCGTCCCTTGGGTCAAAAAGAGAGAGAGAGAGCAGTG